TAGCATGTATATTCTGTCTTCTTAGATTCCTATTAATATGCACCAATTCCAGAAAATGGGAAATTTTCTCTCTATTCCTGCTTGGTCAGTAGCCCTTCTGTGGACATCCAGATGCCTACTGCAGTTTCATGAAGTCTGATATATTGATCCTAATCTCTTAAGATTTCCTGCTTTCACAAAAACTACTACAAAAACACATGAAGACATCTTTCAGAGCTGGCTGGTATGGCCAATACATTTAGTAAACCACTCAAACAAAAGGTTTTAGTACATCAAGGGCTAAGCCAAGCCATTGACTACTGAACGATTTTCTTTTAATATGACCCAAAACCTGAAGTATCTAGGTAAGAGAGCTGTTTTTGGGGGAAAAAAAAAAAAAAAAAGATAAAGATTGATGGCTTTTGGAAACAAAGTTTTGAGACAGTGTTATATTTTATTTTTGTTTTGCCATTTATAAAAATCTGTGAAGCAGATGTTCCACATCACTTGCTAGATCCCTTGCATGTTTGCATAAGTGGGAATTTGTACGTTTGATCGTTATCACTACCTGCTCTCAAGAGGTCATTTAAGAGTATGCACAGTAAAGTTAGAAAATCAGGACATGGCAATTGTTCTCTCTCACATTCAGGTTACATGCTTCTGGTCTTAAGTCTGTCCACTGCTTTCCCCCTCTTCTTCAGAGGTTTAAATTTTTTGCATATATTCTTTCAGATAGCAGCTTCATGTCATCTCCCTTTTCCAGTAACAGGAAATTACTGAAAGTATCCACCTTGTTTATACAAAATTCCCTAAGACACTGAACTTTATGTATAAACAAAAACTTACTCACCCCCACAACTGGACAAATAACTGATAGTAGCCCCAAATACTTCTGCTATTTTATTAAAAATTAATTTTAACAAAATACACTCAGGCCTAAATCATCATAAGATTTAGCTGGATAAAGTCTTGAAATGTCTATTCAATCAATCTATTACAAGGCCTCTGAACATCCCATCCAAAAATACAGGCCGTCCCCTCCCTCTTAACAAATCTTGGAATTTTTCAGGTTGTAAAGAAAAAGCAGCGTACAAGAATGGTGGAATTTTTCATTGATGTGGCAAGAGAATGCTTCAATATTGGAAACTTCAACTCAATGATGGCTATTATCTGTGAGTATCCAGAACACAGATGACAAAAGGCACTCCTATGCTCATACTTGCCCTAAATTGGCTGACCAAATCAGCATGCACACTCCAACAGGGGCAGTATGTACCAGTGACAGATTAACATGTGGGTGGGTGAGTGTTAGCTACAACTTTTGTTTGTCAAGCTGAACTGCCTTCTAAAATGCATGGTGCCGATACATAAACACAGAGTTGTGTTAGCCCTGTATTTTTTCAACTCAGTTGTTTCTTCCTTTGTTCTCCATTCAGCTGGCATGAACTTGAGTCCTGTGGCACGGCTAAAGAAAACTTGGTCAAAGGTTAAAACAGCCAAATTTGATGTTTTAGAGGTATGTATAAAGTTTAGACTTCATATAGAAATACACCAAATATTTTAATCCAAATGTCTGCTGTGGAATTACCAAGTCAGAGATCACAGAGGCAGCTGTGTCAGTGGTCACCAGCACATAAACATTAGGGAGAGCATTTCCTGAATTTCAAACTCCCTGCTTGCCTCCAAAAAAGGTGGATGCAAGTTTTCTTTAGGTTATGTCTTCCTAGCAGATTTTTTTACAATTTAACATCAAGGTAGTTTTCACTCAAATGAATGCTATTCATTACCCTTAAAACTAATTGGAGTACTTCATCTAGTGGAGATCTGAATGGAAACAAAATTTTATTGAAATCTTCATCAGAAAGATTGGTGACAACAAGTTAGAACTGTGGTTGTTTCCGACAATCATTTGTAATTTCCTTTCAGTCTTCCATTAACCACTGAAGCAAAGCATAGATGTAAAGCCAGTACAGAACCCTCCTTTCAAACAAGACAGAAGTTAGAAAACCCTGAATCCAGAACTGATCAGTATAAGGTACTCCATCTTGAAAGTTTAAGAAGGGGCCCAACAAATTCATAAAGAATGAACTTTCTGATGGTTAGATCAAAGCTTTTAATTTTTAGGAAACATTTAGTACTTGACCACCTTTTTTCCTCTCCATAAAAACAGCATCACATGGATCCATCCAGCAACTTTTGTAATTACCGCACAGCCCTGCAAGGAGCAGCACAGCGATCTCAGACTGCCAACAGCAACCGAGAGAAAATAGTCATCCCAGTTTTCAATCTGTTTATTAAAGATATATACTTTCTGCACAAAATACATACGAACCGCTTGCCCAATGGGCAGATAAACTTCAAGGTAGGACTTTATTACAGAAACAGTAATGTTAGTTAAACATTGTACATTACAAACAGTTGCCAGTTTTGAACTTCTAGCTTGTTATATTACGAATTCCTTCAGCATTGCTATGTTCTAGATATAAAATGGTATCATTATCTAGGGGAAATGATTTCACCAAATTTCTCTGAGAGCTACTGCTTGCAATTACTATGGTTATATTAAATATCCAGCAGATTCACAATTGCATATACAGAAGAGAATCCATAAAACTGCTGGAATGTAATTGCCTTCAGTTAAAAGATTAATTTTAAAGTGTACTGAAATAGAGATTATTTCTTGTTAGTTTCACATGAAATGGGACAGATGCACTGCAAAACATAAAATTCACATAAGTAGAAATGATTGGAACAAAAATCTGTTACCAAAACTGATGCATGAAAAGATTAAGAAAATAAGAATTCCAGAAGCCAAAGCCCCAGCACTAAAAATTACTTAAGTAATACAGAAATAGTCTAATGTTAGCTAATTGGAAAGGGAAATTTCTTAAAGGAACATTGTATTCATGCAACATTTAAAACAACTTGAAATCACAAAGTGTAATAATTTTAGCGTATGATGTACGATGGTAGACAAATTTACGACTTCTCAGCCCTGCACCCTGCCTTACGTGCAAAAGGTATTGAGGGAAGTGGAGGGTAGTAAAGAATGGAAAGTAAGCTTTTCTGTGGCAGCAAGCTATCATATCTGATCAAATTGTAATAGGTATCTTCACCCTAAATCATCAGCGTTAGCTGATTTAACCTCACCAGGTTAGCTAGCTATAAACACTACACTTAACCAGCAAATGGTATTTAGCATGTCTTCAAGGGAGTTTCTACAGGTTCTGGATTCTCTCTCCCTGACTAATAAATATACATGTCCAAAAGACCACAGCCTGTCAAAAGTACTTCTAAAGTTTTTTTGCCATTATTCAGGCTGGGTAAGGGGAGGGGGGCACACAATATACAAGACAAGCCCTAAGTAATTATGCATTTCTTAGAATTCTAGGAAGGAAAGGATACCTATAGTTTCTATATTTTATTTTGATTATTTCTTAAATTTAAAAAATGTGCTTTATGAAAAAATCAGATATGTCACATTTCATGTAAGTTGAAGGTTGGAAATGTAAAAAGTGAAGTAAATAAAAACAGTTTACTGACCAGTTCCACTCACTGGCTAATTTAAAGATACAACACAGACCAATAGTACTTTATTGTATATGAAGAAAAGGTTGACGATGAAAAGAACTGAATGCAGAGACCAGGTGGTTAGCAGGAATATGCTATTTGAAACTTGAGAGGCTAACAACAGATGAGGAACTGGGAAGAAGAGGGGGAGACAACAGCAGCAGTAAGAAGAAAGGATAACAAGGAAGACAACTGCATAAGGGATATGAGAAGAAGCATGAATAAGAACAAGACTGAGAGGCTCTAACAAGTATGATTTTAATAACATCCTTTTAATTACCTCATGCAGAAGTTCTGGGAAATTTCAAGACAGATTCATGATTTCCTGACATGGAAGCAGGTTGAGTGCCCTTTTGAAAAAGACAAGAAGATCCAGAGCTATCTACTCACAGCACCCATTTATAGTGAAGAAGGTAAAATCCTTTATGGAATATTACAGTGAGTCTTCCTGCTTGTTGAAATGCAGATAAAAAACTAACATGCAAAAAAATATTTAAGTGTGTATTGTCACTTCAGTATCTGCTTCTGATGAGAATAAACTTCATTATGAAGTCTGCTAAGTTACACATGTTGTATCGTAGCTTTATTTTTTTTTTTTCAGTTAAAGAACCCACATATCTGATTGTTCCTATTTTATTTACTAGCTCTGTTCATTGCATCCTTTGAAAGTGAAGGTCCAGAAAATCACATGGAAAAAGACAGCTGGAAAACACTCAGGTATGAAACTTCCTCAGAACATGTGTCTTTTTGCAGACATACACAGGCATGTGATCGTCAGCTTCCTCCCTCCTATTTGCATACCCAGCTTAAGACCATTTTGGCCTAAATATAATAATTTTTTTCTTCAAAATTCTAATTGAAAAAATTCAATAGGGCTTGGATTTTGATACAGCTTTTCCAGCCAGGTCAGTTCAGGCTGCAAGATCACTGCTGGGACTATGAAAGAGAATGTGATTTGTGATTTGTTTAGGCTATCAAATACAGCAGAAGAATCTACATTTGTAGCAGTTTTCAGACACACTTTTATCAGGGGAACAAAGATACAGAGATACTAAGAAGGTGCTATCAATTATCATACCTACACACTTACAAATCTTATAAAAGGTTGAAATTTTATATGAATACTCTAATTTTCAGCCTACTGTTAAGAAAGTATCAACAACTCCTCCTATCCCTGTGAGGGGGAAACACCTCTTCCATGTACATGATGAGATCAGTTAATTTAGACAAGATTTCTTCTAATACTGAGGCCAAGGCAGAAAGACAGAATTAGACCTTTGTAAATCACATTAAACATTTAGATTGACATATCTGTACCAGATAAAGAATGAGTGAAGGCTGAGCTGCAGTTGAACTACATTATGACTGCATTGCCCTAGACAAGACACTGTTTCCCAGTGATCCCAATGTTTCTTAGGAAGTCCATATAAGCTTTTCACTTGTGACACTCGTGCAATGTACCTTGCATTAAATCCAATGTTGTTCAGCAAGCAATAGTTTAGGATGACAGATCATATTTGCCTGAATGCACCTTAAGGGCCTGAAGTAACGTTACAAAAGTTAAATTTCCATTAAATTTAAAGTCAACATCTTTATTGGAATTCATAGATGTATTCCAGTTTACAGCAGTTAAAGGTCTATGCATTGAAGAAAGGCTTCTAGCTAATTATGCAAAATCAATCTATTGCCAGCCTTTACAAAACCGTAAAACTTTGTCATGATAGAAAAGCTAATCTTGTTTTTTATTACTTCTTCTAGGACAACTCTGCTTAACAGAGCCTGAGATTTTTGGATCTGATCTACAAACTTTGAAGCACATCAAATGAACATGTTTTTACAACCTGAAAGACTTGGACTGAGCTAAGAAAGACCTTACTGGCTGAGGTCTGTTTTGTATATACAGTAACTTTTATGAAATAAAATGTGGTAAGTATTTCACATGTCAACCTTAAGGCACTTAAGTGAAGGGTTTTAGGGTATTATTTTAAATATAAGGGCAGGGCCCTGTTCTCAGAGATGAAATGTATCATGGGAGATGGTATCCCTGGGGAGATCTTATTCTATCAGCATCCAAATTTTTATTTTTTATTACTTCCACCAAAATAAAAATTAAAACACACATCCCAACTAACGCCAGTGTTCAGGTTAAATACTCCATTGGACCAGTATCCTACAGAACACTCAACACGTCTCTCTAGCTTTGAAGTAAAGGGCCTCCTTCAAATCAGTGATACCGTTTCCATGTGTTAGTGTTTGTAGAATCAAGGCCTTAGACATCTGCAGTAAACGTGTTCCTCTCCTACATCAGAAAAAAGTGCCTTACAAGGTACTGATATTGTTTAGTGTACCTTCTATTACGCTGGACTGGAAGTAAAGAAAATAAAAATATGGATGTCTTGAAACCAGCTACAATGTACTTTTTAAATAAAATGGAGAATATGGCACATGAAGCAGAGTATACCTGCCTGTAACACTGATGGTGCAGCAAACATATTTTTGTTACACTATTTAAGAAGACAAGATGGGGTAACTGCTAGGGGATGTGCGTTTGTGTGTGAGTATGTGTGCGTGCATGTGTGAAGATGCATACTTGTCTAAGTTTTAATACTTCTAGGAACTATCCTTTAAATTCTGGCTGTCAGAATAGTTTATGTTTTCCTTTTTAAGAATCAGGGATTTTTTTGGGGTTTTTTTTGTAGAAGGATGTCTAACCTAGATTATCTCTGCAAAACAGGACAGGCTCAATGTTTTTTCAAAAACACTTCTTGGAAAATAAAAATCATGCACGAGCTAGGGAGAGGGAAGTAAACTCAGATGTCCAAGTGGAAGTTAAGGCTAAAATTTCCAAAGAAGCTTAAGAAGAGTTCATCACCACTGAATTTAATTCCCTTGGTTCCTTTGAAAATGCTACTCTGCACTTACAGACATTAAAGCAAAGACCAGCTAATGATAAAAGCTTTTGGTAGTTAATCGTGGCTTGCAAAAATCCTATCTGGGCCAGAACCCGTTGAAATATAAGGAAAACACCATAAGATATTGGTCAGACCTTTGAACCCAGGTCAGTACCAAAATTAGAGGTGATCCATAAACTCACTGATGCTTACTATTTCTAATGTTGCCTTTCAGTCTTGAGTTTACACCTAATTTGGCTATCCAAATGAGTACCCGAGGAGCTTATGCTACGTTAAGATCCAAGGTATTAATTTCCAGGAAAAAAATACACAGTTCAGGACATATTTCTCACCTGATCTCTGAATTAAGAAAGAAAAAAAAAAAAAAACAGGCTCAGATTAAAACTATTTTGTTTAATGAACAAATTATTACCTGTGAATATGTACCATCCTTTCCACTAACTGTTCCCTTAAGGCTTGAGGGCTGGCTATTTGTAAAGATATTGACTTCAGCCAGACAATTAGATTTTATTTTATTTTTTTAAAAAAAAGGCCCTCTAGAGTTTACACTGGTTACAGCCTTCCTCCTGGAGCCTCACAGAGGACCTCTGCACAAGCTTCTTTAAAAATTATTAACTCTAAGTAGATGGGGTTTATCTTATTCTGCCTTCTGTTGAAGAAGGGGCAAGACTTGCTGGACCAAGGGTCTAGTTTATTCCAGTCCAGTAGACTCTTCTTGCTGAGTGCCTACAACCAAGAGCAGTGCCACTGTTTCATGTAGCATCTGTAATCCCTTAGTAGAAGTTATTTGCATATTGGTCCCGTAGTACGGTCAAAAATGAAAGAGCCTTCCCTCTCTCCCTTTTCCATTGCCCCCTTGACAAATACTTAAAATTAGAAGAGTAAGCAAGGGTAAGGAAGGGAGACATCCATGTTTTTCTATTCCCATAGCATTGGTATCAAACAAAGAAATCCAAGTCATGCCATGAAGAAGTAGAATACTAAATGTTAACAAGAACAGCCCAGAAAAAGAGGAAGGGATAATTCTTATGATCTGCTGCTATTTTTCCTGTGTTGAAGTACTGACCTTCAGCCCTGGATTAGAGTAAGAATATTTATACTGTATTATTACAGTGTTTTGCACTTTCAGAGATGTTCTAGCTAGTAACATTGTCAGACACTATAAGAAGGATTGTATATCAGCTTTGTTTATGTAATTGACATTTAAAAGGGATGCTTAAAATTTAAGAAAAAATATATATTTGAAATGCAATTTAGAACACTTCTGTAAATGTATAAAAAGCTTTCACATGAATGTGCACTTCACTGGTCAATCAGTCCTAGTATATACTTGAAATCAATGCAGTATCCACATTGATTCCTTTTTATTTTTCCTCCCTCAGTTTGATACAGTCCTTAAATACTGTGTTTTGCTATTCTGAGCTGAAATCCTAAATATAAAGCTGTACCATAAAGCAGGATATTCCGTGTTTGACTGGATGTGCTTGCATTAATAAAAAAAACTTGCTTCAACCCAGCTTAACTTTTTCCATGGTTATTTTTCACTTGCAAACTGGCTCCTGGTTTGCAGCTTGATCAAACAGGGTGAACCAACCGTGGAAGGCACTATAGTCGCAATGAACCAACTGGTTACTTTCCAACTTAAAGATACATTACAAAATACTTAAATATCTTCCAACAAAGGCAAGAGCAACACTAAACCAAGATATGCCGGCACTGCTAATGTGCTCTCTGTAAGTGTTTTATGGATTTGATACGGTGTCTCTGCTACAGAATATTTTCATTCTTTCTATGAAAGCAATTAACGGTTCCACTGTCTGAACACATTTTGTGTCCCCTAAGAGTTGAATTTTTTTTGTTCCTCCCACATATTTACGCTTTAAACAGGAAAGCACAGAAACATTAGCTGGCCGCAGCACACTGCAGGGTTTCCTGTAGCAAGATGCTGTTGACATTTCAACACCCCAGGACCTTCGGTTGCAACCACTACACTTTTTCACGCCCTACTTTACAGAAGTAAAGCTACTCCTCCCAGGTCACACAGGGACTAGACAAGCACAGAGCTGTGAGGAGAATCCAGCTTTCCTAATGCACTGCCCCAGTACTACCCACACAATCTCCTTTCTCAGGGATATAAGCCTTAAAAAACATTAGATTTTACAAGTGCAGGAGCTATGGAGGTCCCATAAGCATTTTTAATCTGTTGAAAACTCTCTGGGGAAATTGTTTTGGTAACCAGACATCCACAACAGACTCCCAGAGTAGCACAGTACTACTTTCAGTCATCATGGCTCATTAGAAAAGATAATGATTACCAGCATTAAGAAGATCAAGCAGACAAGAGTCTCCCTGATGGCCAGATCACACTCATAATTAAAATGCATTTATATCTTTGAAAACTCACTTCCAATTATGTCCCATCCAGTAATTAGGATGAATTAACTATTTACACAGGCATAAAAGTAAACAATAAAACTGCTTTCCAGGTACTTTACTACCTTTAGAGCACCACACTGTATTACAAGCAGTAACTCAACACTGGTAAAATATCTTTAGTTAACATCAGCAGCAACTTGATTTATCAAGGTAATAGTTATCAAGAAAAAGCTTTCTTTGAACAAATAACGCACTTGGCAAAATTCAGATGACTAGTCAGCTGACAACTGGTATTAGTACATCTTTTCAAGATAAATCAGTAATTCTGAGGTCGTGCAGACAGATATTCCCTCTTCAGTCTGCAGCGTATATAGTTTTATCATGGCAACCTTGGCTTCTCAATAACCAGAAAAGCCTGCAAACAGTGCATGGAAGCAGAGTTTTGTCTTACAGCTCTCTGCAGCCACTAAATAGGGTTGTATGGACAGCGAGATACTTAAAAATTTAAAAAAAAAAAAAAAATGCAGAAAGACTTTATCCAAACTGTTAGTGCATGCTATCGAGGAAGTTTCCCAGACCAGCAAGCATCTAAGAATTAGCAATAGTTGCTATCACATTCTTCCTTCCACATTTGTCCCTGCAAAGACAAGAGATAACTGGGCATGCTTTGAGATTTCAGCACATCTCTATGGGCCGCCAATAGAGGTTCCGTGACACTGCAGAGGTTTGCCTTCCTTCACTGCTCCCCCAGGTGGGTCTTGGGCTTTGGGAGAGAGGGAAACAACATTTGGGAATTTATTTCTGTAGTAATTTGGAGGTACAATCTAAAGCTTAACCATTTCCATAACATTACCCATAACAGTAAAGAATTTAAGTGTTTCTAATATTTCCAACATTGTAAGCATTTTTGTGGCATCTTGATAGCACATTCAGCTTTTGCACAGAAAATGGATGCAGTTGATGGCTGCAAAATAACTTTGGGATATTAGTTTGTTTTCGTAATGAAATATTAAAAAGCAATCAAGTTCTATGTCATGCAGGGAGTGCTGATACACATCAGACAGACACTCTGCCTTCTCCTCAAGAGGTGAAATGAGGAAGAAATGCAAGCCACCAGGAAATGCAACATTAATTTAAAAATACTAAACCAGTGAACACATCATTTCTGACGTGCTAGGATGCATACCTTACGATATTAAGAACACTTAGGCTTCTAACAAGTAATAATAAAAAGCACCTCTACATAAAAAGTTCTCCAAGAAATAGCGTTTGGCAAAAACTTGAAACTATTAGTAGCACCTACCAGAAGGAAAAAAAAACACCACCAAACCACACCACACACACACACACAAAATCCAAACAAGAAACCCCAAACCCAGGTCTGTTGCCATGCAGAGGATTCTTGTTAACAACCTAGCCTCAACAAAAGATGTGGAGACCATTTCACAGGATTGAAAGAAAACTGAAACCAAACACAAACCAAAGCACCAGTTTCAAACATCCCTGCCTGATCTGGGTCAGGAAAGAAGAAACTGAATTTAGTGGAAATGTGCTTCCAGTATTTCTAGTCTTATCTAGCTTCTTCAGATTAAGCAGGTACCTTAATTTTGAAATTAACATAATTCTGTTCAGAGGCAGAAATCCAATGAGATCCAACAGAATCTCATTACGTAGACATTTTTAATTTGTCAACATGTTTTTAA